ATATAGTAAAAACTTAAGAATCTTCTTTTAAAGAACTCAAAGAGCTATGGGGCTAAGATATTTAGCATCAAACATGTTCTAATAGGTGTCTACCAAGTTTGTTCAAATAAAAGCCCTGGGGTCAAAATTGGCCCCCGCCCCAGGGGGGTCATTGATTTTCCCTATATGCATATAGTAAAAACTTAAAAAAATTTTTTTTTAAAGAACCAAAAGAGTTTAAAGCTAAGATATTTAGCATGAAACATGTTCTAATAAGTGTCGACCAAGTTTTGTTCAAATAAAAGCCTTTGGGTCAAAATTGGCCCTGCCCCGGGGGGTCATTGATTTTCCCCTATATGCATATAGTAAAAACTTAAAAAATCTTCTTTTAAAAAACCATAAGAGCTAGAGCTTAGATATTTGGCATGAAACATCTTCTAGTGAGTGTCTACCAAGTTTGTTCAAATAAAAGCCCTGGGGTCAAAATTGGCCCCGCCGGGGGGGGGGTCATTGATTTTCCCTATATACATATAGTAAAAACTTAAAAAATCTTCTTTTAAAGAACCCAAAGAGCTACAGCTAAGATATTTAGCATGAAACATGTTTTCTAATGGGTGTCTACCAAGTTTGTTCAAATAAAAGCCCTGGGGTCAAAATTGGCCCCCGCCCCGGGGGTCATAGATTTTCCCTATATGCATATAGTAAAAACTTAAAATATCTTCTTTTAAAGAACTCAAAGAGCTATGGCTAAGATATTTAGCATCAAACATGTACTAATAGGTGTCTACCAAGTTTGTTCAAATAAAAGCCCTGGGGTCAAAATTGGCCCCGCCCCAGGGGGGTCATTGATTTTCCCTATATGCATATAGTAAAAACTTAAAAAATCTTCTTTTAAAGAACCAAAAGAGCTAGAGCTAAGATTTTTAGCATGAAACATGTTCTAATAAGTGTCGACCAAGTTTGTTCAAATAAAAGCCCTGGGGTCAAAATTGGCACTGCCCCGGGGGATCATTGATTTTCCCTATATGCATATAGTAAAAACTTTAGAAATCTTCTTTTAAAGAACGAAAAGAGCTAGAGCTAAGATATTTAGCATGAAACATGTTCTAATGGGTGTCTACCAAGTTTGTTCAAATAAAAGCCCTGGGGTCAAAATTGGCCCCGCTCCGGGGGTTCATTGATTTTCCCTATATGCATATAGTAAAAACTTAAAAAATCTTCTTTTAAAGAACTCAAAGAGCTAAGGCTAAGATATTGAGCATCAAACATGTTCTAATAGGTGTCTACCAAGTTTGTTCAAGTAAAAGCCCTGGGGTCAAAATTGGCCCCACCCCAGGGGGTCATTGATTTTTCCTATATGCATATAGTAAAAACTTAAAAAATCTTCTTTTAAAGAACCAAAAGAGTTAAAGCTAAGATATTTAGCATGAAACATGGTCTAATAAGTGTCTACTAAGGTTGTTCAAATAAAAGCCCTGGGGTCAAAATTTGCCCCGCCCCGGGGGATCATTGATTTTCCCTATATGCATATAGTAAAAACTTAAAAAATCTTCTTTAAAAGAACTCAAAGAGCTATGGCTAAGATATTTAGCATGAAACATGTTCTAATAGGTGTCTACAAAGTTTGTTCAAATAAAAGCCCTGGGGTCAAAATTGGCACCGCCCCGGGGGTCATTGATTTTCCTTATATGTATATAGCAAAAACTTAAAAAATCTTCTTTGAAAAAACCAAATAGCTAGAGTTAAGATATTAAGCATGAAACATCTTTTAGTGAGTGTCTACCAAGTTTGTTCTAATAAAAGACCTGGGGTCAAAATTGGCCCCGCCCCGGGGGTCATTGATTTTCTTTATATGTGTATAGCAAAAACTTAAAAATCTTCTTTGAAAAAACCAAATAGCTAGAGTTAAGATATTAAGCATGAAACATCTTTTAGTGAGTGTCTACCAAGTTTGTTCTAATAAAAGACCTGGGGTGAAAATTGGCCCCGCCCTGGGGGGGTCATTGATTTTCCCTATATGCATATAGTAAAAACTTAAGAATCTTCTTTTAAAGAACTCAAAGAGCTATGGCTAAGATATTTAGCATCAAACATGTTCTAATAGGTGTCTACCAAGTTTGTTCAAATAAAAGCCCTGGGGTCAAAATTGGCCCCGCCCCAGGGGGGTCATTGATTTTCCCTATATGCATATAGTAAAAACTTAAAAAATTTTTTTTTAAAGAACCAAAAGAGTTAAAGCTAAGATATTTAGCATGAAACATGTTCTAATAAGTGTCGACCAAGTTTGTTCAAATAAAAGCCTTTGGGTCAAAATTGGCCCTGCCCCGGGGGGTCATTGATTTTCCCTATATGCATATAGTAAAAACTTAAAAAATCTTCTTTTAAAAAACCATAAGAGCTAGAGCTTAGATATTTGGCATGAAACATCTTCTAGTGAGTGTCTACCAAGTTTGTTCAAATAAAAGCCCTGGGGTCAAAATTGGCCCCGCCGGGGGGGGGGGGTCATTGATTTTCCCTATATACATATAGTAAAAACTTAAAAAATCTTCTTTTAAAGAACCCAAAGAGCTACAGCTAAGATATTTAGCATGAAACATGTTCTAATGGGTGTCTACCAAGTTTGTTCAAATAAAAGCCCTGGGGTCAAAATTGGCCCCCGCCCCGGGGGTCATAGATTTTCCCTATATGCATATAGTAAAAACTTAAAATATCTTCTTTTAAAGAACTCAAAGAGCTATGGCTAAGATATTTAGCATCAAACATGTTCTAATAGGTGTCTACCAAGTTTGTTCAAATAAAAGCCCTGGGGTCAAAATTGGCACCGCCCCAGGGGGGTCATTGATTTTCCCTATATGCATATAGTAAAAACTTAAAAAATCTTCTTTTAAAGAACCAAAAGAGCTAGAGCTAAGATTTTTAGCATGAAACATGTTCTAATAAGTGTCGACCAAGTTTGTTCAAATAAAAGCCCTGGGGTCAAAATTGGCACTGCCCCGGGGGATCATTGATTTTCCCTATATAAAAACTTTAGAAATCTTCTTTTAAAGAACGAAAAGAGCTAGAGCTAAGATATTTAGCATGAAACATGTTCTAATGGGTGTCTACCAAGTTTGTTCAAATAAAAGCCCTGGGGTCAAAATTGGCCCCGCTCCGGGGGGTCATTGATTTTCCCTATATGCATATAGTAAAAACTTAAAAAATCTTCTTTTAAAGAACTCAAAGAGCTACGGCTAAGATATTGAGCATCAAACATGTTCTAATAGGTGTCTACCAAGTTTGTTCAAGTAAAAGCCCTGGGGTCAAAATTGGCCCCACCCCAGGGGGTCATTGATTTTTCCTATATGCATATAGTAAAAACTTAAAAAATCTTCTTTTAAAGAACCAAAAGAGTTAAAGCTAAGATATTTAGCATGAAACATGGTCTAATAAGTGTCTACTAAGGTTGTTCAAATAAAAGCCCTGGGGTCAAAATTTGCCCCGCCCCGGGGGATCATTGATTTTCCCTATATGCATATAGTAAAAACTTAAAAAATCTTCTTTAAAAGAACTCAAAGAGCTATGGCTAAGATATTTAGCATGAAACATGTTCTAATAGGTGTCTACAAAGTTTGTTCAAATAAAAGCCCTGGGGTCAAAATTGGCACCGCCCCGGGGGTCATTGATTTTCCTTATATGTATATAGCAAAAACTTAAAAAATCTTCTTTGAAAAAACCAAATAGCTAGAGTTAAGATATTAAGCATGAAACATCTTTTAGTGAGTGTCTACCAAGTTTGTTCTAATAAAAGACCTGGGGTCAAAATTGGCCCCGCCCCGGGGGTCATTGATTTTCTTTATATGTGTATAGCAAAAACTTAAAAATCTTCTTTGAAAAAACCCAAATAGCTAGAGTTTAGATATTAAGCATGAAACATCTTCTAGTAAGTGTCTACAAAGTTTGTTCAAATAAAAGCCCTGGGGTTAAAACTGGCCCGGCCCCAGGGGTGTCATTGTTTTTAACTATATGCATATAGTAAAAACTTTAAAAAAATCTTCTTTCAAAAAGCCCAATGAGCTAGAGCTTAGATGTTTAGCATGAAACATCTTCTTATGGGTGTCTACCGAGTTTGTGCAAATAAAAGCCCTTGGGTTAAATTGGCCCTGCAACGTTGGGGGGGTCGGGGGTTAAGGGGCCTATATACAGGTGAGCGACCTTAGGGCCATCATGGCCCTCTTGTTTAATCTTGAGTTTAAAAAAAAAACAACAAAAAACACATACACCTACTTTTTTTTCAATTTGTTTAACTGGAAGATGTTTAGATTTTAGATTCTTTATGACAATGTTCAAAGTTTTTAGGTAAAAACAACAAATAATATTATACATTCATCTTGTGTACTTTACTAAATATAAATGTAATTGCAATAATATTACACAATAAGTATAAAAAGTCTGGAAGAAGTGTCATCTCGGAAGCATTAATCACAACAAAATTACATGAAAATTACCAACTCAGTTTGATTGAGTCTGTACATGAGGGATATTGAAAAGTGCAATATCCCTCACCGCCCCCTAGCACTGGCTTGAGCAGTTCTAAATTTATATATTATAAGTTATGATTTTAATTTGTTATTCTTTTTCAGATGAGTTATCTGGTATACTGAAGAAACTTTCCTTAGAAAAATATCACCCTATATTTGAAGAGCAAGAGGTTAGCAAATTTATTTTAATAGACCTTTTCATTTAAGCGATAACAGTCAGTGAAGAGTTCTTATTCATAGATAAATAGATGTGGAAATATAATCGCCACTGGGCTGTAACATATTAATTAACAGGGTACATATGTTGTTTATACAAGCGGCACTTCGCTGTGATATCATAAATCACTAGGGTGCATTTTAGTTATAACATTACATCAGATTACGTCACTTTTGTTAGTTGTCAAAATATTTATGGTCCGAATTTTGTTATGGATCATCCTAGGGACTTTATTGGTCATGCCTTACTGATTTGATACTCGATCCAGAGTCCTACCAACTGGCACAGTCAAAAATACGTAAAATTATAATTCAGTTAATAACGAATTTCTGTGAACGTGTTTCACAACTTGTTTTTGTTGGTTTTTTTTGTGATTTTTTAAAATATTTGATAAGCAGAGTATGAATTAAAAAGTATCAAGTTGAAAATATTACTTTACCAGCTTAAATATATTGGTGTGATGTACGATTTTTTGAGAGTGCATTCTTTGCCGACACAAATAGTATACAGTCATGTAGATTCAAAAGAATTTTTACTTTTTATGCCTTTACATTTTTTTTGGAAATTACATAGATTTATATTGTTTTCTTTTCTTTGTCTTAGTAATGCTTAAATCAAATGATTTTTAATAAACCAGTATCTTGCAATTAATTATTACGCAGCCGTTTTTCGAAACTACAGAATCCTTTTGTTTTTGAAACTCAAAATATCTTTTGGGTATTGTATACTAGCAGAGACATAGGTACATTATCTTTATCTCTGGTATTAGCAAGTTAGTACGATTTAACTGCCTGGTAAAATTTTCATTATTAAGAATCTAACGAAAATGGTAATCATGATCAGTTACCCAGGAATTTGGTCTACTATTAAAACAAATCGTTAACCATATTATATAGTAAAAATATTTATTCATTTCACCATCCTTTTTATGAAATACCTTATTCAGTTACACAAAATTTTGGCAATTTTAATTTGCCAATTCTTAAAAGAGAAAGGATTAAGATCTTCATATCCCTCTAGTATTGTACTTAAACGTATCGGCATTGTCCGCCGTATCCCCCAATGACGTCATCCAAGGGCGGCAACTTGAATACGGTCTTAAATGAAAGGGTCTATAGATAACTTGAAATATATTTTGGAGGGAATACTTTTATATAATAACTCATTATTTGGAAATACTTGCAAGTTCCTGTATTATTGATAAATTTATTAGATTTATGATGAACCAGAAACAAAACTCACTTAAGTGTTCATTTTATGGTATTTCTTTTATGTGTATTTTACTACACATACATCTTACAATGTATTGAATAACTTTTCTACCTGTATCCAGGTCGTTTTTTCCCCTTATTTACATAAAAAGCTGGCATTTCTAATGCCAAAACATGTTTTTTTCCCAAATTAGAAGCATAAAATTTTCAACCCTCAGTCTGCTTTGATGTTGTTGTTTCTTTGAAAATAATTTTTGTTCAGAGGGAATCTCTTGAAATAACTTATTCCAAAAAAAAAAAAATGAATACAAAAAGATATACGGGGGCTGTTTGGAAAGTTCGTAGACAAGGCTATAAAATCATTATAAGCAGTCATCTCAATATGATGATTGAATATTTTGTTAAAGAATTTATCAGCTACATATTTTTAAATTAAAAAACATGATAAAAGAAATATTCGCAAAGCCCCGATAACCATCAACATGATCAACGAATAATCACTATTTAATGAATAAGGAGAGCTTTGTACTCAACAAGGCATAAGGGTCACACTTTGCTTAAATTTTTGCTTGCAAATTGGTAGCTCCATTAAAAAACCCTGAAGGGAATAACTTCACACATATATTTGACAACATAATAGGATATCACTATCCAAGGCCTATAAGTCAAACCTGGTTTTGGACAGAATTATTGTCATTTTTGAACTAGTGAAATTCTGCATTATCCAGGCTCCTTTTACAAATATTTACTGAGTATAGTAGTATTGAACAAGTGGTTCTATTTGAGAACACTAAGATTTTGTCCAGATCATGTGTCTGTGTGATAGGATACCAATGATCAAAGGGGAGTGGTGGCCTAGTGCTTGTCAACCCAAGGATCATGTGTTTCAGCCCTAATTGGGTCACAACCATGTTTCTTCATATGACACCAGTACTGGTGTGTTCCAGGAAGGGGAATCGAAAGTGATTAATATAAGTCGCAAGAACTTGTTTCGCATTCAAGCTTAAACAAATATGTCTAAACTAAACCAATGATCAAAGTATTAAGTAAAAATCAAGCATTATGATGAAATATGTTAACTGTTTTTTTTATGGAAACTTCCTGCATGCTGTTAGATTTCTGCTCTAATCTTGTATATTTATATGTTTTGTTTCAGGTTGATATGGAGGCTTTCCTCACATTGACTGATGATGATCTCTCAGAGTTAGGCATTTCCCATGTAGAATCTCGTAAACAGATACTCACTGAAATTACTGAATTAAACACAGGAAAGGTAAATGTTTGTTACCACTGCTTAGGGATATGCACAGAAATTTCTGAATTAAACACAGACTGATTAACTGGTTAAGGTCGTTGACTTCAAACCACTTGCCTCACACCACTATAGGTTTGAGTTAGTGTCTTTGGATTCTTTCATCCAGCTAGCTTATGGAACATCGGTGGTTCTACTCAGATGTACATTTGTACCTGAAATAAAGCACAAGGAGACACTTGAGGTCTGCCTCCACCAGTAAAGATAGAAAGTCGGTCACTTCAAAAGTGATATAAAAGATATAAAAAGAAAGAAATTTACCATCTTTTAACTTATGTTATAAGTATTTGTTCATCATACATTTTCTGTGTAATGTTGGAGATTTGTTTTAAGCTAAACCTTTCAACATTTCAACGTGTATATTTTACAGGCTCGTGACAGACGACAATTCCATGATACAATGACAAATTTCCAGACTACTTTAAAAGCAAAACAGATGTCTGATGCTGGAAGTTCCAATGGCAGTAATATAGAGTATATATAACTTTTATATACAACTCTTTTTAGCTCATCTGTCACAAAGAGACAGGGTGAGCTTTTGTGATCGCTTTTCGTCCGGCGTCCGGCGTCCGTCCGTCCGTGGTCCGTCCGTAAACTTTTACTTTAAATGACATCTCCTCATAAATCACTAAGCCAATTTCATCCAAACTTCACAGGAATGTTCCTTTGGTGGTCACCTTTAAAAATTGTTCAAAGAATTTAATTCCATGCAGAACTCTGGTTGCCATGGCAACCGAAAGAAAAAACTTTAAAAATCTTCTTTTAAAAAACCATAAGAGCTAGAGCTTAGATATTTGGCATGAAACATCTTCTAGTGAGTGTCTACCAAGTTTGTTCAAATAAAACCCCTGGGGTCAATATTGGCCCCGCCCCGGGGGGTCATTGATTTTCCCTATATGCATATAGTAAAAACTTAAAAAATCTTCTTTTAAAGAACCCAAAGAGCTAGAGCTAAGATATTTAGCATGAAACATGTTCTAATGGGTGTTTACCAAGTTTGTTCAAATAAAAGCCCTGGGGTCAAAATTGGCCCCGCCCCGGGGGTCATTGATTTTCCCTATATGCATATAGTAAAAACTTAAAAAATCTTCTTTTAAAGAACTCAAAGAGCTATGGCTAAGATATTGAGCATCAAACATGTTCTAATAGGTGTCTACCAAGTTTGTTCAAATAAAAGCCCTGGGGTCAAAATTGGCCTTGCCCCAGGGGGTCATTGATTTTCCCTATATGCATATAGTAAAAACTTAAAAAATCTTCTTTTAAAGAACCAAAAGAGTTAGAGCTAAGATATTTAGCATGAAACATGTTCTAATAAGTGTCTACCAAGTTTGTTCAAATAAAAGCCCTGGGGTCAAAATTGGTCCCGCCCCGGGGGGTCATTGATTTTCCCTATATGCATATAGTAAAACTTAAAAAATCTTCTTTTAAAGAACTCAAAGAGCTATGGCTAAGATATTTAGCATCAAACATGTTCTAATAGGTGTCTACCAAGTTTGTTCAAATAAAAGCCCTGGGGTCAAAATTGGCACCGCCCTGGGGGTCATTGATTTTCCTTATATGTGTATAGCAAAAACTTAAAAAATCTTCTTTGAAAAAACCCAAATAGCTAGAGTTAAGATATTAAGCATGAAACATCTTTTAGTGAGTGTCTACAAAGTTTGTTCAAATAAAAGACTTGGGGTCTAAATTGGCCCCGCCCCGGGGGTCATTGATTTTCTTTATATGTGTATAGCAAAAACTTAAAATCTTCTTTGAAAAAACCCAAATAGCTAAAGTTTAGATATTAAGCATGAAACATCTTCTAGTAAGTGTCTACAAAGTTTGTTCAAATAAAAGCCCTGGGGTCAAAACTTGCCCGGCCCCAGGGGTGTCATTGTTTTTAACTAAATGTGTATAGTAACAACTTAAAAAAAATCTTCTTTTAAAAAGCCCAATGAGCTAGAGCTTAGATGTTTAGCATGAAACATCTTCTTATGGGTGTCTACCAAGTTTGTGCAAATAAAAGCCCTTGGGTTAAATTGGCCCTGCAACGTTTGGGGGGGGGGGTGGAGCTGGGGGGGGGGCCTATATACAGGTGAGCAACCTCAGGGCCATCATGGCCCTCTTGTTTTCACACTTTTTGCCCATTTTCTTGTGTAATTATATACAATATATATAAATGAACCTCTTACCTTTATAAAATATCTTATATCTTCAAAAAAACCTGACTTAAACATCATACATCGTATATCCATTATTAATTACCTATGTATCAATTTAAATGCTATAGTTATCTTGTTTGTATTGTATTCTTTTCATGTTTCATGTTTTCATGTATACAGGGGCCTTAAACGTGGTTCCAAAAAAAAAAAAAAAAAAAAAAAATTATAAAAAAAATATATATAAAATATTCTATAGTCACACTTTGCCTGCCTTATCATTACTTTGAAAGTAATTTAAGATAGCACATATAGATAGCATAACATTCTGTGGGATTATCACAAAGTTTGAAGAATTGGAATCAATACATATACATGTACGTATGAGGCACTATATAATGTCAGGTAGCATTTGCAATTGACAACGTATATATGGAATAAGTCAACCTGACAGTGATTCCACTATGCATGTGTGCAGTCTTTTTTCTTGATAAGCTATCGCAAGAAATATTTCTTTAAAGTTTACATAACAAAATACTACAAACATATTATTTTATAAACTTTATAACTGTGATAATATCTCAGTTTATCGTCTTAACGGAATTTCATTTCTACTTTTTTCAAACAGTAGTTATTATTCTTCCAATGCCGCCAGTTAATTCCAGTACCATCTAGTTTGCCAGGCTGGTTATAATACTGTCCATTTAGATTGGAATGGTGGCAATCCTTATACCACCATGCACCATGCCAACGTTCCGCACAATTGCGCGCCCATGTATCCTGATCTCTATCATATGTTGAGAACATCATTCCATTATGATATTTAAGAGAATCTCCAGCAGTTCCACTGTATCCACTCACCTCCAGTTTGTAATTGTCTTCTTCTTGATATACCTTGAACTTACTATACTTGGCATATGCACTGTTTCCCTCAAAATCTTCCATATCTATTCTCAGTTCATGTCCGCCATCAGATGTCAGTAGACTCAAATGTTCATTGCCGATCCAGAACTCACCATTCAGGTCACCAAAGCCGTTTTTATAATCAGCCCAGTTTCGATAAAAATCTGTTGTACCATTTAGTCTTCTTTGAAATCCTTTTTTTTTTTTCATTTATTATGTTCTTTCATATATGAATTACAAAAAACATTCCAGTTAACATACTGTTGTTACATGTATTCAACATAATATATTCCATTATAATAATTATTCAATTCTAACAGTAATGTAAAACATACACACAACACAATCTCACACAGATACATACACAAATACACATACACATATGCACACACGCACACACGCATATACACATACATACACAGGCACTCACACACGCTCTCTCATACTGAAAAATCTTTTTGTCCCTTTTTTGTATAATGATTAGTACAAATCTTATTAGTTTTTTTTTTATAAATTTGGTTTTTTGCATCGTTTTACTATCGATTTACTCGACTATTCTTATGTTACAGAGGATATTCCATTTTGTCTTATGCGCTTCCAATTTATCTTTAGATAATGCAATTTGTTCTTCTATTTGTATTCTACTGTATACAATTTTCCTAAATATTTCAAATAAATCTTGGTGTTTATTTTTGATATTTTGTCTTAAAAATGTAATATTTCATTAGAATGAGAATGAAATTAATCATGTTACTATGCAGATTAATTTTAAGTTCTCCAAAGAATAATATTTCTTTCGAAAGATTAAACATAATTCCAATTGAGTTTAGCCATGTGTGTAGCATTGACAAAATAGTTTGTATTTTCGTACATTCCCAGAAGAGGTGGTCAATATTTTCAATGCTATTATGACAAAAATCGCACAAATTTGTGTCAGAAGAGAAAAGTATAAGTCGGTATAATTCTATGGAGGAATTTAAACTGGAAATTTCTTAATGTGACATCTAATGTGCTCTTATAAGGCAGTTGATATATCTTTTTCCAGTCAATATGCTTTTGTATATTTTCTTCCCATTTAGTTTCATTACTTTTTTTCCCTTGACATTTTCCGTTTTTCATTTGCAAATCATATAAAAGTTTATTCACAGATTTGGATTGTATAACATTTTGTATAAAAGGTTGCGAGAAAACAGTGTTAATTTCAGCATTTTTTAACTTGTTGATAAGAGTGTCAGATATATTTCCAATAAGCATATAATACTTTAAGAAATCTGTATTATTGATGTCATACAAATATTTAAATTCTTCGAAATTATAAAACTTTCCTGTTCTGTAATCAAATAAGTGTTGTACGAATTTAATTCTTTTAATAAACCAGTTTTCATAAAATACAAGTTTACCATCTATTTTTATATCTGAGTTATTCCAAATAATGTCTTTATAAGAGATATTTTTTGTTAAGTCTGTACTTTTTATTTCAATCCATGCATTTAGCATATTATTTATAAAACTTTTGTGTGGAAATAGATTATCAGCATCTTGTTTTGAAATGTTACATTCAAAAATAAGTTCATTTCCATACTTTAATAATTTATTCTTAACAAATAATTTCCATAAGCTATGATTTTCTTATCTAAGTATCTTTTGATCCAACTTGCTTTTAACGATTTTAAAAAATATGATATGTCTGTAAGTTTAAGTCCCCCATTCTCAAAATTTTGCTTTATAATATTTCGTTTAATTTTGTCTGGTTTTCCTTCCCAAATGAAATGAAATATTGCATTTTCAATTTCCTTGATTTTTGATTCTGGCGGGTTTTCTAACACCGCAAAAGGATATATTATTTTTGGTAGTGCAAATGTCTTGATAACAGTTACCTTACCCATCAAAGTTAATTTTCTATGTTGCCATTGTTTTCAAGCAGTTGTAGAAATCCTCAAGTTTTGGTTCAAGATTAGTTTTTAATATATTTGTGTTATCTGTTGAAAAAGTAACTCCTAATGTTTTTGCTGATTCTGATGACCATTTAAAATTGTATTTTTTACAATAAATTGTATTTGTATTACGAAGTGATCCAATTCTTAATATTGTTGATTTTCTAGTATTCAGATTAAGACCTGATATAAGACTAAATTTTTTAAGACATAGACGAGTCGTTCAAAAGACATTTGTGTACCATCATTTATAAAAGATGCATCATCAGCAAAAAAAGTTTGTTTAATTTCTTTTCCTTCAATATATATTCCCTTGATATCGCAATCATTTTCTATGTAATTTGACAATATTTCAAGACAAATAATAAATAAGGACGATGATAATGGACATCCTTGTCTCACACCTCTCTCTATATTAAAAGTTTCTGAAAAATGGCCGTTATTGACTATTATACTAGTAATATTCGTGTAAAAGAGTTTCACCCACTGAATTAAATCATTTCCAAAATTAAATTTTCTCAATGCAGATATAATAAAATTGTGGCTAAGACTATCAAATGCCTTTTCAAAATCAGCAAAAAATAACAAACCTGGTTTATTTCTTTCTTTTAATAGTTCAATAACTTCAAAAATAAGTCTAACGTTTTCCCCAATGTATCTGTTTTTCATAAATCCAGATTGATTAAAACTTATGATCGAAGGTAAAAATTTTTTTAATCGGTTAGAAATTGTTTTTGTGGCAATTTTATAGTCAACATTTAATAAACTTATTGGTCTCCAGTTGGATAAATTTGTGAGATCCTTGTCTGGTTTTGGTATAAGTGATATAATTCCTTGCCTTTGAAGTGTAGTTAAGTTACCTATTACAAAAGAATGATTAATTGATTTTATGAAATATTCTTTTAAGTCGTCCCAAAACATTTTATAAAACTCTACTGTCAAGCCATCAGAGCCTGGGCTTTTATCGTTTTGCATTTCTTTTAAAGCTATATTTATTTCATGTGCATTTAAAATTCCTTCACAACTGTCTTTTTCAACTTCAGTTAAAGTTTTTATATATATATTTAAAAAATCTATTTCTGGAGCTTCAGAATATTTTATTTTGTACAAATCTTCATAGAATAGTCTTTCTTCACAAAGAATTTCTTCTCTGTCAGTTATTTCTTTTGTTTCTTTAATAAGTTTATGTAAAATTTTCTTTTCAGCATGTTTTTTCTCGAGATTTGCGAAGTATTTACTGTTTTTTTCATTGTGTTCAATATGAATAGCTTTTGCCCTTAATATTTGACCATTTATTTTTTTATCATACAATGTTTCTAAGTCCAACTTTTTTGATTTTAGCTCTTCATTGACTCTATCATCTGTTTGAACTGACAGTTTGTTTTCGAGTTTTTGAATGTCGTTTATTAGATTATGTTCTTCGTTTTTTTTCTTTTTTCTTTTTATTGCTTGCATACTTTATTGTTTCATTTTGTATTCCGCCTTTTATTATTTCCCATAATGTGTTAGGGTTACTGTTTTTATTAATTTCTACCAACATTTTAATTGTATTTTTCACTACCGTCTGATATTCTTTATCTGTCAATATTGAATTATTCAGTTTAAAATAGCCTGGTCCCTTTTCCATCACTTTATTATCAATGAAAAGTTTTACTAATGAATGGTCGGTTTTATATCCCGGAGTAATTATTGATTTTGTAATTATATTAGTGAGGTTCTCTGATATAAGAAAGTAGTCTAGTCGACAGAATATGCATGGTTTACCATTTGAACGCCACGTATATTGCCTTTTATCGGGATGGTGTATTCGCCAAATATCGACTAATTTACATGAGACTATTAATGATTTTATATTTTCTCTACATTTTTTATGAGTATCATATCGTCCATTTTTTTTATCTATTTTTGTATCTATTACTGTATTTAAAATCGCCACCGGCGATTATGCTTTTGTCATTATTCTGTAAAAGAAATGTTTCTAATGTTGCAAATAAACTGATATTATCATCATTAGGACCATATATATTTAATAAAGTAAATTCTCTTTCGTTTATAGTTATGTCAATTGATATTAATCTACCAATGATTAACTCATTTGTATTTACTATTTTGATGTTACTATCTTTTTTTATAAGAATTGCTACTCCTTCCTTATTTGTTTTATTTCCACTAAAATATGATTCACCTTTCCATTCTTTTTTCCAGATTTCGGAATAATAATTATTAGAATGTGTTTCTTGCAACATATATATAGAACATGGTTGAGAGTCTAACCATTCAAAAAGTTGTTGTCTTTTTTGTTTATTTCCTAATCCTCTAACATTTAATGACGAAATTACCGTTTCCATTGAAATTGTAGAAATGAATATCTTCCAAAATGCGTTTTTAAACCATACCATAAAATATTGATACTAATTTCACTTGTCATTAAGTGGACAAAAATAAAAAAGTCGAAATTAATAGGTACAAAAAAAGTAAAGGATTTTTCAAAAAAGATGAGCATAATCAATATTTATGAATAGTTGATAGGTATCAATGCTTTCACATTCATTCACGCTACTTACACAACTCACTTCTACATAATGAATAAAATTTACATGTTTAACTTTGACGATTATACATAACAATCTTATACGATTTAAACTCCCAATTTATACTATTTGATAAGTAAAAACATATACATTTAAATACTTTCACATATACATACTTATCAATCATCATGTATAGTAACAATAGTAACATCGGTTTCAATTATCAATCAGGTTATACAAAAAATACAACACTGTACTGTATACTAGATAGTCTACATGTTGCTTGTATATACAATCATGTCGATCACACAAAAACTCAGATAATCTTGTATTACCAATCTTATTACATTTCTATAAAACATGTATTTATAAGATCAATACTATGTGACAGGTAAAAACATAAACATTCAAATTACTTATACCAATACGATAGAGGATCCCCGAACTTTGAAATACTACCCAGCCCCCACCGTCTGTAGTTTGGTCACAATAAATTTCAAAACCTTTTGGATGATTGTAAATTTTATTTTCATTCTGATTAATTTTTCTTAACAAACTACAGGGAGAATTCCAGAATGAGTAACCACTGTGCTTTAATAAAACAGTAACAAGTGTTTCAATGTTTTCAATTTGTTTAGTGTTTAGTTGTACCTGTTCAGCCATACTTTCCAGAGCTTTAATTTCAGGTGTTATTTTGTCTTTGTGCACATTTTGGACCTTTTCAAAGCGGGTTAATAAATGATCAGTGTTATTAACAGCA